AGAAATCTTTCTGAAGGCTCATTCTTAAAGTACCCTAGTATTTTAATACATCACACTTCAGCACTGTTGAAGCCAGAAGTGATGGCCTTTATTCAGAATACTGGAAAGATCTTTATGACTTGGATTAGATAGTCCTTTTAGGAGAAAACCAAGCTATAGCCAGCTCAAGTACATGGAACTGAAACCTCTTTAGAGGAACACTGTAACCCTAAGAGATAAAAATATTTTTAGCTGGGCGGTGGTGGGGCACGCCTTTAATCCCAGCACTTGGGAGGCAGAGACAGGCGGATTTCTGAGTTCGAGGCCAGCCTGGTCTACAGAGTGAGTTCCAGGACAGCCAGGGCTACACAGAGAAACCCTGTCTCGAAAAACAAAAACAAACATGCATGTCAAAGGTCATGCTGTTCTCTCTAGGCTCCCTCAGTGTCACAGGTACCAGTTGTAAATTTCAAAGTCCATGGTAGCACCCTGCCTCTTTTACAGAGGATCCACGTTAGGTTCCCAGCACCCACAGGGCAGCTAACCATATGTAACTCCAGGCCAGCCTGGTCTACAGAGTGAGTTCCAGGACAGACAAGGCTATACAGAGAAACCCTGTCTCAACTCCCCCCCCAAAAAAAAAATTTTTAGGATTTTGCATTCTCAGGTAGGAGAGTTAACATGGAAGTGGTCATGTGCTCTTCCTTGGCCATCCAAAATTATGGAGTTTGACAAAACACTTTATCCATAGCACTATCTAATAAAAATGAAATTCCTAGACCAGTGGTGGTGCTCTCCTTTAATCCCAGCTCTTGGGAGGACGAGACTGGAGGATAGTTGTTGAGTTCAGGCCAGGCTAATGAGGATAGCCAGAGGTACAGAGTCGCTGTCTCTGGGGGAAAAAAAAAATCATCCTACTAGCTATCTGGCTTATCTACTAAGCCAGTCTCCAGGCTACAACCTCACCCCCGCCCCACCTCCTTTGTAAGGGATTTTTAATCACACTTAAACATGCTTAGGGAGCACCCAGAACAGTACATACCCGACTATACTGCCACCACACAGTGTGGCGTCTCAGGAGAGAATAGTCCATTTCTCCCTCCTATGCTCTTTAGGGGAGGGCCCACCTGCGGAGTCCACAAGACAGCTTTAAGGGTCAATGCCCTCTTGCCATCCTTATTTGGGTCCCAGGGATCAAACGCTAGTCTTCAGGCCTTCCTAAGCTTTTAGGTGCTTAACCACCTCACCAGCCCAGTTACATTAACATTCTGTCATGTTCTTCTCACCAGTTCTTTTCTCCTTAACCTCAGGCTTAAATTAATGCTTGAAGTAGGGTCCCACTATACAGGCCAAGATGGCCTCTACCGAAATTCTACCTCACCTTCTCGAATTACCGGTATCAAGAACCCACACAACACTACACAGCTCACTGCGCCTTGTATTTAGTCTCAAGTTAAACTCTCTTAAATTCTATACATAAAAAAAGAAACATAACATTAACCTGCCACTCACTCTAATTCCTCCTACAAACTCAAAAGTATTTAACTGTAGGCCTTTCACTACCAGATGGTGTCCTAGGTAAATTTAAGACTTTACAATCACTTTCAAAGTAAAGAAGTCAGTTTAAGAATCCTGCAAAGCAGCTGGGCTGTGGTGGCGCACGCCTTTAATCCCAGCACTTGGGAGGCAGAGGCAGGCGGATTTCTGAGTTCGAGGCCAGCCTGGTCTACAGAGTGAGTTCCAGGACAGCCAGGGGTACACAGAGAAACCCTGTCTCGAAAAACCAAAAAAAAAAAAAAAAAAGAATCCTGCAAAGCGGGACCAAGTAGAAAGGGCAATTATGTTCTATTTGCTTGCTCTTTAGGAAGGCATCAGACATGGTCTAAAAGTATGAGCAACCTTTCTGGCCAGGTGGTGGTGGCACACACCTTTAATCCCAGCACTTGTGAGACAGAGGCAGGCGGATTTCTGAGTTCGAGGCCAGCCTGGTCTACAGTGAGTTCCAGGACAGCCAGGGCTACACAGAGAAACCCTGTCTCAAAAAGCGCAAAAAAAAAAAAAAAAGTATGAGCATCCTTTATCACACCAGTAGTGGCCAGTGATAACAAAGTGCCTTCTTTAACTCTAAAGATGAGGCTGGCGCTGGTGGTGCAAACCTTTATTTATCTCAGCACAGAGGAGACAGAGGCTGACTGATTCTGAGTTTGAGGTCAGCCTGCTCTACAGAGTGAGCTCCAGGACAGCCAGGGTACACAAAGAAACCATGTCTTAAAAACAACAAAAAAGTTTTCTGAGTGGGTTTGTTATCAGTTGCTATGGGCACAATACTGCTGGTTTACACAGGGAAATGGTATTGTGGCTTAACTCTGACAGAAGTAGAGCCACTATTCTGAGGAATTCCTACTTCTGTTTTCACAGTTTACAAGAATATTCATCACCCAATATACTATTTAGCTCACATCTAACACTGAAACCATCACTTTTGTTTGAAGCAAGATCTCACTCTATATAGATCTAGCTGACATTCAACTCAGAAGGAAACTGGCCTGCCTGTCAAGCAATCATTTGTTTGGCTTTTCGTTTGGTTTTTCTGAGACAGGGTTTCACTGTGTAGCCTGAACTCCATTTGTAAACCAGGTTGGCTTCCAACTCAGAGATCAGCTTGCTTCTGCATTCTGAATACTGGGATTAAGTAAAAGGCACGGGCCATCCCTGCCTGGCAGACAACGATTTAAGATGTTCCACTCTAAATGGAACATCTCAATGATCTGAGTCCAGCTTGCTCATCTTCCACTCAAAAAAAAAAAAAAACTCAAAAGCAAACTTGTCAAGCTATGGGGGGGTTGGGGGGGGAAGCCCAGCTGGCCAAACAATTCAGTCCCAGTCTGATAACCTAAACTCCGTCCCAGGAACCTACTAAAATAGAGAACTGACTCCAAAAGCTGCATGTACTCTCTGGGCCACGCATTGGGAATACTACTCAAGTTGAAGGCGAATTCAAGGCCAGCCAGATCTACACACCAAGCTTCAGTTAAGAGGCAAAAAGAAAAAGCAGGGTGTGGTGGCCCACCTTTCCTTTCAGCACTTGGGAGGCAAAAGCAAGCTGATCACTGGGTTCCAGGTTAACACGGTGAGACCCTAAACTCAAAATCAGAAAGAACAAACTCAGAACTGGCAGTGTCCAGCTATATAAATAGAGTGTACTGGCAGGAAAGATAGAGTGATGAAAGATTCCCAGGCATAGGCAAATAAGCACAATAAAAATAGCTTAAAAGCCAGGTTTCTCACCTGGGTATTCTCACCTGGGTATAGTGAGCACTGCCTTCAGTGCACTTTGGGCAGAGTCAGAGGGATCTGAATCTAAGGCCAGCTTGGTATATAGAGCAGTTTCAGGACAGTCAGAGCTACACAAAGAAACCCTATCTTCTGTCTCTGGCAGGGCAGTGGAGTGGGGTGCCAACTTCAGTCTTCCACTCTTTTGCCCAGGCAAGTCTTCCTAAGTTTCCAAATCACCCATCCCTACAAAAGGCAGCATTTCTTCCCCTATTGCATTTTCTTCTCCTAATTCCAAAGCTCCACCCGAAGTTCACTGCAAGTGTCTGTACTAATCACACAGTAATCACACACCGGAGGGCAATTCGCCCTGTGGTGGTGACATCCCAAAGGACAACAAGAGAGTCCGGTAACAAATACCAACACTTCCTTTCAGGTATCAGTAAGACTGATATTGAGGGTTACTTTACAACCAAGAACAGACTAAATCCCAATGCTGGGATGCCTGTTCTTTAGGCTGTCCCCTCCTCTGGCTTTTACATCCAACATTTCCACTAAAACAGTTGCTAAGTATCACTTCGCTAGCAAGCAGAACGTACTGAAATTCTAGGCCCTAGAATGTGTAAACCCTAACCACAAATCTATGGTTCAAATAAAGACATTATTTAAAAAAAAAAAGCCAAAGCAGGTGCACTGGGCGAACACACTCCCCACCTTGGACACCCCACACTAAGGTGGGACTTAGAAGTTGGGACCATCCCTGCCATTCCCTTTCAGCGGTTCACACACAACTTCTTCGGTAACAAAGCTTTTAAAACTTGACAAACACATTCTGGAAAAGAAAAAAATCTCCGTCTCCAAAGACTGTTTGTCTTTGTTTTTCGAGACAGGGTTTCTCTGTGTAGCTCTGGCTGTCCTGGAACTCACTCTGTAGACCAGGCTGGCCTCGAACTCAGAAATCCGCCTGCCTCTGCCTCCCAAGTCCTGGGATTAAAGGCGTGCGCCACCACCGCCCGGCAGTCTCCAAAGTTTTTAAGACAAGTTTGCAGCGCAGAGTTCCCTTGTCTACACAACCGAAGTAAATTAAGACTTAACGTAAACTTCAGTTACATAAACTTTGTTACATAAACCACAGCAACGAAACCTTCAAGGCCAACAGCAAACGAGTTTTAAAAGTAAGCTAAGCCTGCGGGTCGCCTAGCAAACTTCCCAACAGTCCCAGGAGTATCCTGGAAACCGCCTTGGCCTTCCCACCCGGCCCCCTTCGCAGCCCGGCGGCCTGGGCTAGTCATTACGCCTTCCATGGGAGTCCTGCTCTTTGCATGCCACCTGACCCCTTGCTTGCAGAGTGCACCGAGGACGCCAGGACAGGGTGACACCAGCCACGCTGATTCCTGGAGCTCTGCGGCCGACCCAGCGCGTGCCGGGCCCAACCGCCACCGCCGACCAGAGAGCCGGGGAAGCGGACCGCAACTAAGCCCCGAGCTAGGCCTGACCAGGAACGGCAAACGCCCTCCTCAGACCCAATCTAGAACCAGCCCAGACCGGGAACACCTTAAGCCCCAGGCCCAGACATCAGACTACAGCTTGGACTGGAACCCATTCGGCCCTAGCGAACAGTGCCGGCCCCACCGTCGACCCGGCTTCCTGCACCCGAATTCCGGGAGCCGAGCAGGTGAGCCCATCCGCAGGCCCTCCCCTCCCGCCGCAGTCAACCCTGCTTTCCGCCCCGGTAAGCGGACCCTCACCGAGGACGCGGCGGCCAGCGAGGGTGGGGGGAAGTCAGGCGGCCGGTCTCCTCGCGGCTCTGGCACAGCTGCGCTGGTGGCGGTGGCGGCGTCTCCTCGCGCTTTCCTTTCTCTCCTTTTCTCCAACAACAAACAGGAAGTGCGTCACGCGGTGGCGGCGCGGCGACGTCCACTTCCGCCCGGCCCTGACGCTAGGGAGCGCAGCAGCTTCCGTGCGCCTCGGGTTCGATAGCGCGGGTCTAAGCGTTCCGGAAGATTCTCGGAGCTGAGGATGGTGGGACTCTGGAGGGTTTATATAGGCGAAGGCGGCTGACCAGAGCGGGAACGGCCGCCTTACGCAAGCCCTGAGCCTGGAGGACTCTAAAGCCTGAGGCGACCTGTAGACAACCCAGGAGCCTGCGTTTGCCCGGAAGCAGGCTAGGAGGAAGGACGCTCACAGCCTCTGACTGTGGATACTGAGATAACGACCTGATAGCATAGCATGACTCACCCTCCCTATGGACGTGGGGAGGCTGTGGTCCCGAAGTTCGGCCAGCCAACAAGCAGTCCCGACTAAGATCCTCCTTAGTGTCCCTGTTCCCAGCCCTCGTCACTTTACTCGAACCCTGAGAGCCCCCATCATTACCAGCATGGAGTGCCGAACCCAACGTCTGGATTTCAACCACGGTTTTGTTTGTTTGTTTGTTTTAATGTATTTATTTTATGTAGGCTAGTACACTGTAGCCGTCTTCAGACACACCAGAAGAGTGCATCGGATCCCATTACAGATGGTTGTGATCCGCCATGTGGTTTCTGGGAATTGAACTCAGAACCTCTGGAAGAGCAGCCAGTGCTCTAAACCACTGAACCATCTCTCCAGACCCTCAACCACCTTTTTAACACACTGTATTTTTTTTCTTTTGCTTGTTTTTTTTTTTTTCCGAGTGTCCAGTGGTAGGCATTGAACCCAAGGCCTTGTACATGCTAACCACTCTACCTTAGAGGCCTATCGCAGCTTTCTTTAATTTTGAGACAGGGTGGCGTTTAGTCACTCCCTCTGACATTTAGTTTTCCAGAGATTACAGGTTTGGGATTACAACCTTCACAACCACCAGGCCTAGCTTCACATTGAGATACCGAACAAAAGGCGTTTTGAACATTTTCTGCTTAGTAATGAGAAACAGCAGTTCCAATAATGTGTCCCCAAGCCGCATCTGCCTGATGACACACCCTTCAAAACTGACTTTACTGGCCATAGTCCGAACCATACTCAGTTGTCCTGACTTTGAGGGCCCAATGCTCTGATTCTTCTCAGTGGCCCAACCACTGCTTCTCTCCCATGTGGGGAAGTTAGGCAAACTTCTACAGCTAACAGGAGTGTTGAATATTGGTGTTCATGTACTGCCTTCATGTGTGCAAAATTGTATATACCTTTCTCTTGTTAATGTGCCCACTGTCCATCTATTTAATAGACTTGGTAGATGAAAATTACAACAGGTCATCTATGTAGAGTAAACTTGCACTTGGCCAACACAGTGAGCTAAAAAAACAAAATGGAGTCAAAAGTCAAACAGAAACAAGTTACCGTGTTTGTACTGGCTAGTTTTAGATCAACTTGCTACAAGCTAATGTCAGAGAGGAGGGAGTCTTAGTTGAGTAAAGGATCTGGCTGAGGGCAATCCTGTAGGGCATTTTCTTAATTAGTGATGGATGTGGGAGGGCCCAGCCCTTTGTGAAGAAGGCTGTCCCTGAGCTGTTCCTCCTGGGTTTCATTAAGAAACCCCCTAAAGCAAGCCAGGAAGCAGCACTCTTCCAGGAACCTGAACTGCCTAGATTTTGATGTGAAAGTGTAAGTTGTCACGTCTTTCATTACAACAATAGTAACCCTAAATAAAAACTGCTCATCCTAGAAAAGATTTACCTAACTGGCCAGTTTCAATTGACATGATAATGAAGTTACCTCTACCTTAATCTTTATACATTTAGGCCGTAACCTCACATTAACCTATTGATTTCCTTTCTATTGTTGGGTCTCCAAGGCCCATTATGCTAGGAAAGTAACTTTGAAAAGCCCTGTGGCTTCTTTGTTTATGCCTTTTTCAGCCTTTCCTGGATCATCCCATCAAACTACCCAAGGAAGACTTGCCTGATTCTAGAATTGAAAATAAAGTCAGTTAAGACTGGGCATGGGGGCTGGAGAGATGGCTCAGTGGTTAAGAGCACTGACTGCACTTCCAGAGGTCCTGAGTTCAAATCCCAGCAACCACATGGTTGCTAACAACCATCTGTAATGAGATCTGATGCCCTCTTCTGGTGTGTCTGAAGACAGCTACAGTGTATTCATATATAATAAATAAATAAATCTTTAAAAAAAAAAAAAAAAAAAAAAAAAGACTGGGCATGGGCTGGGCGGTGGTGGCACACGCCTTTAATCCCAGCATTTGGGAGGCAGAGGCAGGCGGATTTCTGAGTTCGAGGCCAGCCTGGTCTACAGAGTGAGTTCCAGGACAGCCAGGGCTATACAGAGAAACCCTGTCTTGAAAAAAAAAACAAAAACAAAAAAAAAAAAAGAAGAAGAAGAAGATTGGGCACAGGCTGGGTGGTGGTGGTGGTGGAGCAGTCCTTTAATCCCAAAATTTGACAGAGGTTGCAGATCTCGTGAGTTTGAAGGCCAACCTGGTCCACAGCTAGTTCCAGGACAGCTGAATGTACACAGAGAAACCCTGCTTCAGAGGAGAAAATAAAAATGGGCTTGGGGTGATAGCACAAACCAATAATCCCAGCATTCTATAGGACGACCAATTCCATGGGATTACCAAGAGTTGACAGTGATCTGAACTACGTGCATTAGTCTTTGTCTTAATAAAATGTTGAACCATGCTGCATTTGAGAGACTGGGTGATTAAAAATTGAAGCAAGAGGATTACCAGAGGCCAAGGTCAACCTGGACTACAACGCTGAGACTGTCTCAAAAATAAGTGTAGCCAGTCCAGTTAGCCCACACCTTTAATCCCCACACTCGGGGAGCAGAAAAGGGTGGGTTTCTGTGAGCTTGAGGACAGCCTGGTCTACATAAGTGTATTCCAGAGTGAAGTCATACCCATAGTTGATCAGTTGAAAAGCTGAGGCAAGAGAAATAGGAATTCAAGGAAAACTTGAGATGCCTTAAAAAGAAAAGGGGGAAAATTGGTTGTAATTTTATCCTTTGTCATCAGTATTTTTAGCTCAGAGGGTAAAAGAAAATTTTATATTGATCTTAGCCACTAAAGTTTCCTCATTTTAGACAACTGGAACATCCCACTGGTGGTTTTAATGTTTCTACATCAGTAACTTGCTAATTGGGGGGTTGGGAGTGGGTTGATTTAGTAGCCTAGGGTGGCACCCTGATGAAGGAGGAAATATTCAGAGACCCTTGTGCCCCTTTTTTCAGCTATCAGACTTGAAGCAATAAATACCAAGGAATTAAAATTTCCCCGGTACCATGCTAGGGGGAAGGAAAGATAAGAGGGGCTTGCCTCTCAGAATGGTATTATCTCACAGAACAGCACATGTGAATGTAGTTCCTGGCTTCTAATTTCATCTCTTCTATACCATTATAACAGTGCCACAGAAATGAATCTTTCTAATTCATCCAAGTTACAAAAGAAATGCATTCATTATCCTAAACCAGTTATAAAACCTGTGATGGCTATTGTTGGTCCTCAACTATATTTGGAATGAACTACAATCCAGAAATGGAGGGCACACCTGTGATCGGGATCTTGCGGCTGGAAGACACACCTGTAATCTGGGCCTTACTTTCGGCTGGAAGCCTACATGAGGACGTGGACGAAGGAAGGCTTTGCTCTTTGCCTCCTTGTCCTCATTTTCCTAGTACATCCATTCCTTCACTCGGCATTGGAGCCTATTTCCTCGGGATTCCAGCAAATACCGAGACCGTCTGAGACCCCCGGCCTTGTGAAACTAAGCAACCACTAGTCTCTTGGACTTTGCATCCACAGCTAGCGATTGTTGGATTAGTTGAACTGCAGCCTGAATGTCATTCCAATAAATGCCTTTTATATTATATATGATATATGATATATATATAATATATGACATATCATATATATTGTATTCCATAAGCTCTGTAATTCTAGAGAACTCTGACTAATAGACTATCACATGTCTGTACTTTCAACACTTGGGGTGTGGAGGCAGGAGAATATTCAAACTCATTATCAATTATATACTGAGTTCCAGACAAGCCTAGGACACATGAGATCCTGTCTCTAAAAGCTAGATATATATGTGTGTGTGTGTGTGTGTGTGTGTGTGTGTGTGTGTATGTATGTATGTATATATATATAGGAAGAATGTGTGTGAGTATGTATATATTCGTGTGTGAGCACACTCGCGATCCCATGCGCACCCTGAGAGTTGAAAGTGCTAAGCAAGTGCTTTACTAATGAACTATTAAAAAAAAAAAACAACAACAACAACAAAAAAATACCTTGCATGCATTTCATCCCAGCACTGAGAGGTGGGCAGATCTCTGTAAATTCAAGGCCAGCCTGGAGTACACAATCACCTCAATAAGCTCCTGTCTCAATAAATAAATAATTTAAATCAGACACAGCACTCTATTATTTTTTCTTTTAGTAGGTTAAATAAACATCTATTCAAAAAGAAACGACACAAACACCTGGCATCTCATAATACAGTCTTACGATCACCCAATCAAAAACTAGGTTTTATTCAGCTAAACACCACTCAAGCCAGTCAGGCACAGTCACATTTAACTCTATCTGCCAACCTGTTGATGGAATTTTATTTACTTCTGTGTGGTGAGAGTACAACCATGTGACATTTCACATTCAAATAAGTCCCTTGTACCCACTGTGAACTAATTGAGGTGCAGGCACATGGATTTTAAATAGTACAATGTCAGGATAGTCAGAGATAGCCTCTCTTCCCCTACAAAATAAACAAACTAAAAAAATATATGTAGAAAATGTAGATCTCGGGGCTGGAGAGATGGCTCAGCGGTTAAGAGCACTGACTGCTCTTCCAGAGGTCCTGAGTTCAAATCCCAGCAACCACATGGTGGCTCACAACCATCCGTAATGAGATTGGATGCCCTCTTCTGGTGTGTCTGAAGACAGCTACAGTGTACTCATCAATAAAATAAATAAATAAATATTTTTTAAAAAAAAAGAAAAAAAAAGAAAATGTAGATCTCTGGAGCAAAAAC